AATCACCATCTTTTGACAAAGTGTGTTATAAATTCAGAGTTTTTACCCCCAGTATTTTCTGTTTTACCTTCCTCTTCCACAGCAATTCCAGGTTTAGAGTCTCGCCCAAGGACACTTTGACACGAGGAGCCAGGCATCTAACCGTCAATCTTGCGATTAATGGATGACTCGCTCTACCTGCTGAGCCACAGCTGCCCCGTATTATTCAAGTTGTTGGCTAAATATCTATTTTAAAGCCATGTACGGCTGGTACTGTAGATGACATATTTATGCTATGCAATCAACAGAAAACTGTGGTGTTTGACAGGAAGTTATTTCTTTGTAAAGATTAAACAGAATGGATTGGGGGAGGTGGTGCAGCTATAGTGCATGTACACCAGCAAGTCAATGTGAAGTCTCTTTGCCCAAATACAACTGCAACAATATTCATGCAAAAGTACTTTGTGACCAAGTTTGTCTGATTTCCATTCGGCTATTTTTAAGTATTGTCATACTTGCGTCTGACAATATATCAATAACCGTCTCCTCTACTACTTCAATGCTGAACACTTCCATTAATTCCCCCCATGCACCCGAACAGCGAACAGAAGCATTATTTATCATGAAAACTGAGCGATGCAGATAGGAACCACGCTTGAAAGCTCAGGCAATGACACATGATTCTTTGGGGGGGAAAACAGAAAGGCAACACGAGGCCTTGACCTCAAATATCAAACGACAAAATCTGCACGTTTGAGGGATTACATCTCGTAAATACAGTCCTGACCGGCTAAAGGATTCTCTGCAGCATAATGAGAATTCCTTGTTTTATAAGCGCTACAAAGCCAAGTTGCTATGAGCAGCCAGTGTAATTTATTACTGTTAAACTTTTTGGTTGTTTTTAATTAGAACATTTTGACAACAAAACAAAATGAATTAATGAGGCTTTTATTGGGCATCATTTTGTGTCTTTTACAGAGGAAATCAAATATGAATCTAATTGAAATGCTGTTTATTTGAAATAAATGTTTTTAACAGAAAAGTAATTTTTTTTTGTCTGTGCTATAAATCTTTATACGTTTGCATCTCTGGATTGTCATACTGCTGTGAGTGAATAGCACAGTATAAAAGGAGATAAATGAGTTTTCTTTGAACCCTTTGTCCACCACCTAGGAATACTACTTATGGCATCTTTCACTTCTTTCTACATTTCATACACTCTAACTCTGTGTCTATTCCTCTCCTCCTCCTGCCTCTCTGTATCACTTCCTCACGCACTCTCACATTTTCTGATGAGCATATGAACACACGTCTTCTCTTCCTCACCTCTCCTGATCCCCCATCTCCCTCCCCCACCTCTGTCTCTCTTCATCTCTTCTTTCCTCTCGCTGATGAGTATATGAACACACGTCTTTCTTCTCCTCTGCCGGCTGCTGCCTCCCTCTCTCCCTGCTGCTTCAGCTCAGCCCACGGGCAATTTTCACACAAGGCTGATTGAATTCACCCCCCCTTTTCCCCTTCACTGTTCTCACTAAGGGATGGAGATGACACAAGGTCTAACCACCGCACACGTGCATATAAATGGACACTTACAAATGGCTCACACGCGCACACAGGTCTGCACGTAGTCATGCAGTTGAGAAATTGAGGTCGAGTTGACACACTGTATAAACATGCGTGGTCTTATAGGGAGGTGAAGAGAGGGGCTAATAGCATATGCAAAAGAACCTGAAAAGACACGCTCGTGCTAATACACATGTACACATGGAGACCCACGCAGAACTGCAAGTATTTCAAATATAAGAGAGGCTTCTATGATAAAAACACAGCCTCTTAAGACAGTGGAAATGGGGATAAATGCATCCATCTCTTGTTATATGACAAAATACATGTAAAAAGAAATCAGTATCGGAGTATTTGATACATACAAATTCATTTTTTCAAAGGTTTGATGACTCATCCTGCACTCAGAGGCTTTTGTAAAAAAAAAAATCATCCCATCAAATGAGACTTAAGGTAACCGGATAGTCACACCATTCATATAAAACCTCCCTTCACTGTTTGTGGACGTGTTAGCTAACGATAGCAATATGAAGAGATGTGTGTTTGGATATCAGTGGGCAAAAACCTTTGTGTTTTCAACTGCCTCTTTGTCACAGCAGCGTGGGCAGTACACGCTGATGACTTTTCCCGGCGGGTGAGCGGGAAGCTACGGGCGCACAGAGCCGGTTGAATATCGGCAAAGTTTCCCTTTCATCTCTCCCTTGTCCTCCACCTAATCTAACCGCCTCCTGTCCTCTGTGGCTCAGTGTTGCTGTAAACTCTAAGCCGGTCCGTTTTTATTTAAATCGCTCTTGTAACTGTACACAGCTCAAATGTTCTGATTAAGAGGGATAAAGAAAGTATATATATATACTGTCTATATATAAGTATGCCAGAACATTCACGTTGGGGTCTGTTAAATCTGAGTCGTGTTTTTGACAATTTACTGACTTTTTAAACAGTGAAACAATGAATCAAAAGCCAATTAACAGTGGAATCGGTAAGGCAGCCCTCAGGTATCGACAAGTGGCCATACAGGTGGACTCATCACAGAAGGACACTCGCATCTAACACCTGCAGTACTGTGATTGCCTCTTCTGTTAGGGCCATTTGGCCTGGCTAGGAGTGTGTGACGGTGAACGATGAAAGAGCGTCAAAAGGAGCGGCGGCCAGACTCGATTGAACAAGACGTTTAACTCGGGGACATAAAGACTAACCACGATCCTCCTGGGGCCCCGAGAAAACACACATAGTACACACATACGGTCACAACAACAGGAAGTTATTAATGGTCAGGTGTTGCTCCAGTTCTGCTCCAAGCAGTTCACCAGCAAAACTGCATCCCGCGAGGAGCCATAATCAGTACCCGCTCACTCCCCAGCAATCATTTACAGCGGCACCAGCTGCCCAATGTCCTCTGGTCAAACTGGATGCGCAATCTCGTAATAGTCTCCCGCACTGCATCTCGGTTGATTTAAGTCTCTGCAGCAGCGACAGACCTTCAATCTGTCGATTTTATCATTCGAATGGAGCAGCAGGCTCCTAGGACTAGACCCTAATGGGGGAGTCGGGGGGGGGGGGGGGGGATCAGGTAGCTATAAATCTGTCTCACAGGGACCCTTCACAGAAAGCACACAAGTGAGCCTTGTGACGGATAACCCTGCCGGGGTAAAGGGGTATTGATACATCCGTCAGAAAACCGAGACGCCGTGCTCCATCTCACAGGAAAGATGGGAGCAAAGTGTAGTGTAAATGGCAAGAAAGTCCAAACGCAAAGACGAGGACTGCAGTCGTCTGAGCAAAACTTAGTGAGCAACAGAGATGATGGAAACTGTAATAACCAACACAACGATGTCTCCAGTGTGGTGAGAGGGAGAATGATTGATTGAGGTTGCTTTTACCCGCTTTGATTCAGTTCAAACTGACTTTGGTGCATTTCCCAGTTTGCGTGTTTGGTTTGGTTCTTGCAGGCTCAAACAGATTGAAATATACGTTTATATTATAGAAGTTAATTTGGTAACTATGTTAACATGCATGTGCGTCAGCAAGTGAAGGGATTCCCCGATTCGTCAGAAAGTGAGGTTAAATAGAGGTGTAATGAGCTTGTGTCCTACGGTGTGTATTTTAACTCTTTCCCATTGCATATTTAATGAAATGTAGCAATCACACAACAATGTCTGTAATATTAGAGTGCAAAAATCATCTTCCGTCCTCCTACCTGTTTGACACCATTTATGACATCAAAAACCAGCTACAGTCACAACCAACCACGCTCATAATCAGTTGTTTCTTTGTGAGCTCCTTGTGAACACCAAAGACGATAATACACACACAAAGACCTTACTGTAATTTCATTTGCTCTCTTTCACATTCTTTGACATTTTCTGCATAGAATTAATGGCACGCAAATGTGGGATAATGGATTCAACAATATATTCTGCTCCAGCAATGTATTCACATTTCACTCATCCCAGCGATGGGGGAGAATTTAACGCTGCTCTCCCCTCAACTCGCTCGGCCTGCAAATCAATGTCCATTAAAGTGACTTGAGCGTTTATATGTCACTGGATCCTCTTTCCATTAATGCTGCTTCTGCACAGATTCCAGCCTCTTTGACTGAGTGCCCGTTCAAAACAGTACAACTGCAGTGTACGGGTGAGCGTGCGCTCCGGGAGGCTGCTACAGGCAGACGCTCGTTACGGTGACGCGTCGAGACTCCACAGTGTGCCGATAATGAACTGGACCATTTGTGCTGTGTGCTTGTCACAGGCAATCGTTAAACCTGTATTTATCCAGCCAAGGCTTGCATGGTATTCATACTTCTCTCCTGGCAAGGCCGTGCTTCACGCTCATAAAAGCTTTCACAGCTTCACACCTGGTCGCTGTCAATTGTAACCACGGGCCTTTACACTTGGGCCGCAGAGCAGCTTCACCGGAGCCACTGCGGCTTCTTCAAGGACACTTCCTTGGTCTCTGAGTATTACTACTTTATTACTATCGTAAATTCAACAATAATGCAATGACAGCAGATTTGAAGCAATGTATACTTTGGGCTGATTATTTTTGGACGGCCATTGCTATGAAGAGGAAGCTTCTCAGACACCAGAATCAGAGCGAGTATTTCAACACACTTTCTTGTTGCAGTTGGGGACAAATCGCGGCTAAAATAAACCCAGAAAGAAAAAGTAAATTGATTTTAAGAGCAGCTTATATTCTCCGTTTTGTCAACGGTGTAATCTTCAGCTTCCATCCACCTTTAGCAGAGTACCTAACTGAATTTCGCTCAGCAATGTTGCTACTTTTTATTTTAATTTTCATTCTAGCTGGAAAAAATGAAGGCTAAAGAAAGAATTATACAATATTACGCTCACACATGCAGTCGCAGCCTGTTCCTCTTTCAAACTGCGGGGCTGGTTGGGGATAAAGGAACCAGCAGATCTCCCCAGAGTAGAGGGATAACAGACATCTATTAATCTTACCTCCTCTCCTGTCAGGTAGTACGCCGCCAGCAAGCCGCCAACGTAACGGATGTTCACCTCAAAGAGGGATGCCTCACCGTTCTGTTGAACCAAGAGAGAGATCAAATTGTCAAATGTCAATTCAGTCAGCGGTAAAGCAGCACAGTGGTGTTTATGGGAAAGTTATAACATTGTAGTCAACATAGTTGTGATTACTTAGATGTGAGTTTTCATAGTAAATGTATTAAATAGCTGGGATAGCTGATAGATTAACTGCCCTTTGAGACCCCTTTGGCCGCCCAGATATGGATATTAATAGCGTATTTTCCATTACACACTGTAAACTTATGAAATCTCTGTGAATCATAGGCATGATTTTTAGTGAGTATGTACAGTGACTCGACTGTGTGTGTGTTTGTCTAACGACAAGTAAAATTAAGAATATCAGCAGAGTTTTCCTCTTAATGTGTAAAAAACAGGCTCATCAAACAACTCTACAGACTACAGTCACATTTCTAAAGACGTCTCTTATTGTACAACCTCTGCCATAAACAGTATTTTAGCGTTTTTTTAAAGAAAGGCAATTCGGCAGTGAATCTCCATGACAACAGCAGACGTGGTTGCTAGGAGAGGATGTGACAGAACTAAAGAAAACAAACTCCACTGATTGACTAATTGATTAACCTCATTATCCCTCATTAGGACATTGTGGTGTATTCACAAGTCTGTGACAGTATAACACAGTGATGATGATAACAAGCCAATAAAGATGTGCAACATCAGAATCAGCATTAATTGCCAACATCAAAGGTTCAATATCAATGTATTAACATCATCTTCACCACCAGATTAAAACCCCCAAAATACAGTATAGTCCAGAGGGAAGGCCAGAAATATGTGAACTCCTCTTCGTCTCTCTGTGCACCAGCTGCGATGGAGGTTCCCTCTCCAAATAAATCAACAACTCGAGCCAGGCCAGACTCAAAGAGTCAGGTCAGAAAGTCGAAGCCACGTAATCATGTTCCCTGGTGTTTTGTTTCCTCAGAACTCTCTTTTGTCTGAGGTGTCTCTCTTTCAACTGCAGGGCAAGATCAATTAACGGAGAGCGAGATCACTGGCTCAAGTAGAGTTTCATTCAAAGTTTCAACCACTTTGTTGGATGTTTTTGAAATGTCATCTTTGTCTTGTCTTCTTTTGACACCAGCAGAACTTTTTCATATTACAATAATTATAAATACAGAAAAGTTATTTTTAGATGACATATCTTAAACTCCCAAATAACGGCAAGCACCTTTATTTACTCTTTTTCTTTAATTATCTTGATGCGCCCAAATGTCAATATTCTCATTTTCACAGATTTTCTGCCGGTTAACATGAACGCTTGACTTATGACGTTATGCTTAATTTATCATGGTAGATACAAGTGTAGAGTTAAATGTAACCCACCCTTGATGATTTTCATCCAATTTTGTATGCAATCCAAATAAATAACCTGTTATACTGTATATTTAGCATCTCTGTCTTTCAACTACTGTATGAAAAAGCTCAAGATACCTGCGAGCCCTTCATTTACCTCAAACATAAAATTGTATATTTATTGTACTTTTGGAAACTTTGCAGAAATATCTAATATTTCCATGCTTCCACTATGAAACCTTACATGGAGAGGTGCTGTGCTAAGTTGCCATTTCCGTTTGCCAACATTAAATGTATTTCTCTTCTACGTGAAATATAAAATAAGAGGAAACACTGAGTGTGTTTAAATATAACAACATAATTATTGCCTCTTACGCGAGCTCAAGGTTGGATCTGTCAGGAACTCTTGGAGACCCATTGAGAAGGAAATTGCTATCTCAAGTGTGGATGATAAGGAAATTGTAATTGGGTGCCAGAGAGGGCAATTAGCTGCACTCTGAAGAATAGCATAGAGATGTGGAGTTACTGGCATCGGTTCAAGGGATGTGTGTGTGTGTGTGTGTGTGTGTATATATACACACACTGGGCATCAACAAATCATCGAATGTGTTCTAATTTGCAGTCAGTTTCATTTTACGAGAAATATTTCGCAACATGTCCCCAACTTGGCAACAAACACATGTTGACAAATAAAGGAAACGTTGAGAAGATCAATACTTCTCTCGTGTCCGTTTGGTAAATATGAAGCTGTTATGCTAACCTGTTAGCTTAGCATAAGGCATTCCCATTAACACTTGGTTTGTTGTGATATTAAATATTACATTAGTGAGCTTTAGAGGTGCTGTTAGTTGGATTGTGTTATCTTTGCACAGAGCCTGGCTAGCTGTTTCCTCCTCTTTCCAGTCTTTATGCTAAGCTAAGCTAACCACCTGCTGGCTCCAGCTCCATATGTAGTGTAAAGACATGACAATGGTATCAATCTTCTCCTGTAACTCTTGGCATGTATGAGAATAAGCATATTTCCCACACAAAATGTCGAACTATTCCTTTAAAGTGCATTGCCCTTGTTATGTGTTATGGAACTTTATAAATCAGGTAATAACAGCAGGACTGTTTTACAACCACGGTGCTGTGCGCTCCATCCCTGAAGTCGGCACACTGGTGACACTTCTTGAGACAGAGCACTGATGCCTCTGGCAGGGCAGCTGAGCTGTCTTGCCAACCCTGAAATGAGTGGCCCATTCAGTAATGGCAATACGATGGCAGTGATTAGGAACGGAGTGTCTATTTATCACCAGGGACAGTGGCACTCAGCAAGACAGGCAGGAGATACAGTGAGGGAGGACAAGTAATGCCGACTATGGTTTTGCTAATCATACTTTAACTTCCCTACACAGGCCCAATAAATCACCCAGCAAGCCTTTTCCTTTAAATAAATACCACTGCACTGAAGATCCCATAAAGTGCGTTTTGATAAAAACAGGACTACAGACGCACTTTCTGTAAAGGGTTTTGTTGATTTTTGTATTTCGAATCTGATCTATTTTTCATGAACATTGTTCCTGTGAAAATGGGGCAACCGTTCAGATCTGCATCTCCATTAAATCAACAAAAAAAAAAAAAGCAGGACCCGGGGCTCAGAAAGAGCACACAAACACAACACAACTTACATCGATTCAATCATCACATCACAAGCAAGATATCAAAACAGAACATAAAAAACAATGTCAATGTTCTCCGAGAGGCAGTTCACAAGTTCTGCACAGCAGACTGGATTTGGCTCTGACTGAGGCTCACTGTAGAACTGGTTGGAGTTTAACAGGGTTATCCAGCTTGAGATGTGTATTTGTCCAAAACAAAAAGTACATTACTTTGTTTCTTTTCATCGTCCAAGTTTAATTTACAAAATACAACTTTCCAAAGCCGTTAGGGCTTGAGCTGGTAATTGGAAAAAAAACACATCTGGCTCATTTGAATATCAGGAATATCGTAATATATTATTTTCTTCTCATAATTACGTTGTGACAAAAAGGGGGAAGACTAAAATGTATTGTTTCATTTCAGTTTCGGTGACTAATTAAGTTTCTCAAGATTTATGGTAAAACGGATGTTTTCATCCGGCTGAAAGCACAAAGTCATATTCATGACGAACAAAAAATAAAAATCAATAAAGAGCAGATTATGGGAAATATCAACATGAATAATTCAGTTTCACTCATTGCGCTATTGATTAGCCTTTTCTCCGACTCAAGTCCGAATGTGACCGGTGGTGTCATCTCAGTTTATTACAGTTTGAGAAAATTTTAGACCTAATTTATAGGTTCTATGTTTAATTGTCCCGAAGATAAACGACAGGTGAATCAGGAGGAAATCATAAGTGGTTCCCTGAAACCACTTCTATCCCAAAAAAAAAAAAAGTTACCCTCTCCCACTAAGAGACTAAATGCTGCAGCAGGAAGTTCAATCTGACTGTGCTTCTGCTCCTCGAGGCACATTTAAGCGTGGGGTGCAGCAAGTATGACTGAGAAATCAGGTATAGTGAATAACACCTGTTTTTTTACTCTTTTTTTTCTTGTCTCTCTTCACGGTGCTCAAGCCGAGGACCTAATTAGGAGGCAACACAAGGTTGTCAGAGTAAACACAGGAGCGCGAACCACCTCTGCCACTAAAAGGGAAAATGAGACTTTCTGAAAGATGATTACTCAAGAACAAGTCTGCATTGCAGTTTGCAGCTTTAAAGCACAAACAACCTCTTTACTTGCGCAAACATGTTGGTGCTGAAGCTCTCAGACGCCATGGAAAACAAGTCTATACTGTAAATACTTGGAAGCGATTTGAATGCACAGCTCCTGTGTCGCCTTGTCTAGATTATGGCCACTTTTACACCTAACCTGTATGTTTCGCTGAAACGGACCTTGGTGCGTTTGTGCGGTGAGTACGGTTTAATCTGTCAAACCCTGGTCCACTGCAGACCAACTAATTCAACTGAGGCCACTTCCAAGGGCACTAAACTAAAGATAAACTCATTTTATGTACGTGTGCTGTTCAGGAAGTGATAATCAATCTGTATATTGGTGTGAATCATTTCGTAATCTTGAGAACCAGACAGTCAAAAAATGTTTTCAAATGAACCAAAATGAGGTGTGAAATTAAAAAAAAAAAGCAAAGTTGACCTCTTGAACGTCTCAAACTAAGCACGCAACTTGATACCGTATTAAACAATGCTTCACGTATTGTAAATATGCATGATACTAGGAGAATAATTAGCATTTTAATTGTTCGACATAATGTAATTGCTGTGCAGGAGGAGCCACGGCAGAAAAGACAATTAATTAATGAGTGTAATGACTCGTTGGGTACACTGCCGTGGTACCTTGTAGGTGTTCTGCTTCACCAGCACCGCGCGGTGTTTCTGACAGTGTTCGATGCTCCTTTCACTGTTAATGAGTATTCATCAGCCATCAACAGCCATGGCGAAGATTGTCGTCGGACTCGGCCCAGATTTGCCTGGGACATGAGCCTGATTGGCGTTGGCTGCCGTGCACCAAGGAGCTGAGAGAGGACGGCTGCCCAGTGGCGTGTCCTGCTCACACGCTAATGTAATGATTTACTGCTAATAAAGAGGCATCGTTGTCGCTGCGCAGATGACTCGATCCAGGTTTAAAATGGCTCCAACATTTCAAAAG